TTAGGGGAGGTGTTGGAGGAGGATCTTCGTAAGAATATTAATCAGTTTCCCAGGTGCGGCCTTCAATGCTGACTCATCAAAATGAGGGTATAGGGGGTCAGGGTCATTCTGTGGTCAGTTTCACCTTCTAAGAAAGTCACTGAAGAGGGGCCAGAACCAAGGTGGGCCTGCCACCGCCCAGTCTGGAGTGTGTAAACCATTGGCTCCAAAGTGTCCTTGGTTAGGGAAGATAAGACCTTGTGATTTATTATCTGGCTGTAAATTGCTTGACCAGTTTGTTCAGCTATCTGTCTCAGTTGCTCATTCCACTTGCCCAGGAATTTTCCTCACCTCTTACTATCCTGCCTTACTACAAGCAATATCTTTTGATAGGCAACGTCATTACAAAACACAGCTGGTTTTCTGTGGATGAAAAATGCTCTTAACCCTAAATTGTGGAGGAGCTTCAAGATTCCCTAGGCCAATGGTCGGCAAACTGCGGCTCGTGAGCCACATGTGGCTCTTTGGCCCCTTGAGTGTGGCTCTTCCACAAAATACCGACTTCTGTGCATGGGCCACAAAGTTTCAATCACACTGTACATGTGCGCCCGCACGTGGTATTTTGTGAAAGAGCCACATTCAAGGGGCCAAAGAGCCGCATGTGGCTCGTGAGCCGCAGTTTGCCAACCACTGCCCTAGGCAGTAGAGCAAATTTGTTGGTGGTAAGAAAAACCATAGACCTTTTGGTTTGAACTTTGTGGGCTATTACATCAGGATTTACTTGACCCTAAACTTGAATACTACCTCCTTAGAGTCCTCAATTCATAAAAATGTAGTTTAAAAAGCATATGCAGTAAATGTGAATCCAGCTGTCTGTTTTTTGCAAACATGAATTCATCTTCTTGTCCAAGTCACTGGCTCCCAAGTCTATTCCTAATACGCTTTGCTACCTTACTCTTCTAATTTATAGGAACACACACAAAAAATGTGTGACTCTGGAAAATATTTGTTTTATGTAATTTCAATTTTTAATAAAAACCTTTCAATAGCAATTTAAAATATGTTGGTCTTTGAAAGAAAAATTTCTACAATGCACATATTAAAATTATTGAATGGAATGAGAATGAAGACAGTTACAATTTCACAATAATTGATTTTAACTATCTTCATTTGTGAACTAAGTATTTTAAGCCTATAAGGTGTACATAGTCTTTGATGATTAGTTATCTATGAAAAATTAATCCCTGTTACTCACTTTGTATTGAGAAAATGATTGAGGTAATGGAGAGTTTCTACTTTTTAAAACCTTATTTTTACCAAAGGATGAAAAACCTTCAACCTCATTAATTGCAAAAGAACCAAGGAGTTTTTCCTAACTTCTTTTTGTGTCATGCCATTGATTTAATGTAGAGTTTCAGTACATTTCAATAAGAAAGTAATCTTGTTCAATGATACAAGTAGAACAGTAAAAAAAAAATGTTTTGTTAAACTCTTTGCAGTTTTAATAGATTTTTTTTATTAAGGTATTACATATGTGTCCTTATCCCCCCTTTTTTCCCCACCCCACCCCCACTAGTGCCCTCACCCTTCTAGTGTCTGTGTCCATTGGTTATGCTTATATGCATGCATACAAGTCCTTTGGTTTATCTCTCCCCCTTACCCCCACCCTCCCCTGTCTTCCCTCTGAGGTTTGACAGTCTGATCAATGATTCTATGTCTCTGGATCTGTTTTGGTTCATCAGTTTATGTTGTTCATTATAATCCAATAATGAGTGAAACATGTGATATTTATCTTTCTCCGACTGGCTTATTTTGCTTAGCATTATGCTCTCCAGGTCCATCCATGCTGTTGCAAATGGTAGGAGTTCCTTCCTTTTTACAGCAGCATAGTATTCCATTGTGTAGATTTACCACAGTTTTCTAATCCACTTATCTGTTGATGGGCACATAGACTGTTTCCAAATCTTAGCTATTGTAAATTGTGTTGCTATGAACATAGGGGTGCATATATCCTTTCTGATTGGTGTTTCTAGTTTCTTGGGATATATTCCTAGACGTGAGATCATTGGGTCAAATGGGAGTTCCATTTTTAGTTTTTTTGAGGAAACTCCATACTGTTCTCCACAGTGACTGCACCAGTTTGCATTCCCACCAGCAGTGCAGAAGGGTTCCTTTCTCCGCATCCTTGCCAGCACTTGTTTGTTGATTTGTTGATGAGCCATTCTGACAGGTGTGAGGTGGTACCTCATTGTCGTTTTGATTTGCATCTCTCAAAAGATTAGTGACTTTGAGCATGTTTTCATATGTCTCTTGGCTTTCTGTATGTCTTCTTTCGAAAAGTATCTATTTAGGTCCATTGCCCATTTTTTCGATTGGGTTATTTATCTTCCTTTTGTTAAGTTGTATGAGTTCCCTGTAAATGTTGGAGATTAGGCCCTTATCTGAGATAACATTGGCAAATATGTTCTCCCGTGCAATGGGCTTTCTTGTTGTTTTGTTGATGGTTTCTTTTGCTGTGCAGAAGCTTTTTATTTTGATGTTGTCCCATTTGTGTATTTTCTCTTTAGTTTCCATTGTCCTAGGTGCTGTTTTGGTGAAGATATTGTTTCGGTGTATGTCTGAGATTTTGCTGCCTGTGGATTCCTCTAAGATTTTTATAGTTTCCCATCTTACAGTTAAGTTCTTTATCCATTTTGAGTTTATTTTGTGTATGGTGTAAGTTGGTGGTCTAGTTTCATTTATTTTGCATGTATCTGTCCAATTTTCCCAGAACCATTTATTAAAAAGACTGTCTTGATTCCATTGTATACTCCTGCCTCCTTTGTCAAATATTAATTGAGCATAGTGGTTTGGGTCGATTTCTGGGTTCTCTATTCTATTCCATTGGTGTATATGCCTATTCTTGTGCCAGTAACAGGAAGTTTTGAGAACAGTGGCTTTGTAATACAGCTTGATATCTGGTATTGAGATCCCTCCTACTTTGTTCTTCTTTATCAGGTTTGCTGCAGCTAAGCGGGGTCTTTTTTTGATTCCAGATGAATTTTTGGAGAGTTCGTTCTAGGTCTGTAAAATATGCCATTGGTATTTTAATGGGGAGTTCATTGAATCTATAGATTGCTTTGGGTAATATAGACATTTTAATGATATTGATTATACCAATCCTTGAACATGGCATGTTCAACTAAAGTTTTTGATGTTATGATAGTGTTCCATTTCTAAGAGTAAATATAATAAAATATTGATGAAAAATCTAAACCTAGTTATGGTCCTGATTATCTGTACTTCAATTAATATGATGATCTGCTCATATACATTTTGAAATAAGTTTTATTGAAGACCCACCTTTATTAAATTGAAGGTTTGAGTTTTAACTCTCACAATACAAGGAGGACTTAAGGGACAGAAAAATAATCTCTTATTCTCTTCTGTCAAAATCAATTATGTGCCCAGCTGGCATGGCTCATTGGTTGAGCATTGACCTCTGAACCAGGAGGTCATGCTGACCAGTTTTCGGTCATGCTGACCGGGTTTCGGGTTCTATCCCAGTGTGGGATATGCAGGAGGCAGCCAATCAATGATTCTTTCTCATCATTAATGTTTCTATCTCTCTCTCTCCCTCTCCCTTTCTTTCTGAAATCAATAAATGTATATTTTTTAAAAAATCAATTATGCAAATGTTCTCATGATAATTTGGCCAGAACAAATATATGGAAGCCAATCACTATGAGGAGCAATTGCCTATTACAATCCCTTTTAATTCCTTGTACCTAAAAGTGCAGTCCATAAACCAGCAGCATCAAAGTACATTAGAAATGCAGAAACCCAAGCCCTACTCCGGACCTACTGAGTCATAATAGAATACATTCTTTAAAAGAATAAATTCAAAATTTATTTAAGAGTGTTCTGATGAACATACATGTTAGAAAAAAATTATTCGTATCTGACTGTGTCCATGTCTATATCTTCCTTTATTCTGGAGGGAAATTAAAGAATCAGACAGATACAAATACATACATTAAAATGTTTTTTTCTTTCTGTGATTAAAGTTATTTTTAAAAAAATAATTTAAAGGTAGAAGAGGATGTTCTATTTCACAGTGGTGGTGGTGAGGGCCAAAAAGCACAGCTCAAAATAAAAGAAAACCTGAGGTTTTCTTATAATATATTCAAGTCCCAACTAATATGATTAAAATAGCTGCCAATTACTGAATGCTGCCTTATATGTAAGGAACTGTCATAAAAGATTTTTTTAAATGTCATTTAATCTTAACCATAATATAGGGACTAGCTTTATTTAGATGAGGAAACAAGAACTGTTAAGTGTTGGATATTGAATTTAAACCCAGTAGAGTGACTCTAGTTCTAACAATTCATAATGCACAATTTTAGGAAACTTCTTTTATCTCACAGTATATTTAACATATTTCAGGTTTCCTCTCTTCATTAGAGAATATACATACAATTTTCTCTTTGAATTACTTTAGAGATATATTTGATGATCTATTTATAATCACATTGACTTAATGGTCTTAAAATAAGATAAATGCCTTAGGTTCCTGTGATCAATATATATTATGTCTTTAGTGCCTTGTTTTTCATTAAAAAAGATATAAACTATACTGTAATTTGTTTCCTTGCACCATCTAGTGGATTTAAATGACAACTGTGCAGTACCACACATGATTACAAGCTAATTTAACAAGTTAAATTTTCAAACTTACTGGAGAACTGCTCCTAAAACTATTTCGGATCACACCACAAATATACACATAATTATTTTATTTCCTTTTTCATAAGGAAATCCACTAAGCATGGGTGCTGAGTTATTAGCGACTGTTTAAAGCCACAGCTAAATAACAAAAACAGCCTCCCTGTAATCTTTTTACGATTAGACTTAATATTTGCATGTCAGTCTCTCCCACCCTCTTCCTAAACGCCAAGGCTTCCAAGGCAGCTGCGCAGACGCACCGCGAGTCTGCCCGGAGCCAGTGCGCAGGCGCACTTAGAGCGGAAGCTGGGAGGCGGGGCTAGACGCGGAGCCCCGAGCGGAAGAGGCCCAGGCGGCTGGGTGAAGCGCGGAGACGGTTTGGCGGTGAGTCTGGGGTCGGCTGGAGCTCAAAGCCCCAGACCGCGGGGGACGCCCAGAGGCACGAAAGACTTGGGGTTCCGGGGCGGTGGCCGCCGACCGCGGGCTCGCCGGCTGCTGGTTCCCTGCCTGCGGCCGCGGACACCCCGCCTCGCCGCCTGCAGATCGGCCCCGAGAGGCCTCCAGGCCTAGGCGCGGCCCGCGGAGCCCGACGCGCTGCCGCCGCCCGAGCTGCTGTGAGTACCGCTACGAGCGCCCTCTCCACGGTCGTTAACAGGTTAAAATGGAGGAGATTTCGTTGGCCAACCTGGATACTAACAAGCTGGAGGCCATCGCTCAGGAGATATACGTAGACCTGATAGAGGATTCTTGTTTGGGCTTCTGCTTTGAGGTGCACCGGGCAGTCAAGTGCGGCTACTTCTACCTGGAGTTCGCGGACACGGGGAGCGTGAAGGATTTTGGCCTTCAGCCCGTGGAGGATAAAGGAGCGTGCCGCCTCCCGCTCTGCTCCCTTCCCGGGGAGCCTGGGAACGGGCCCGAACCGCAGCTGCAGCGCTCGCCTCCGGAATTCCAGTAGCTGCGATGTGAGAGCGCCTGAGTGTGACCAGGACAGTAACATAGCCCGGTCCTGTGGTCTGGAGAAGTTAGGTAGCTAAGTAGGGGGGGGAAAGAAAATAATAATCAGACAAAAGCCCCAATTCCCATTGAAGATTCTAGCCTTTAAAACCCCAAAGTGGAGAATTTAAAAATTCGGATTCTTTTCCAAGTATATTGACCTGGGATCAGTTTTTGAAACCCTGGGCAGGGGGAGCTGTGCATCTTGCACCGTGCGATGCCAGGCTCATCTCCAAACGCACCCGGAAGTGCACAAGATTCCTGGACTGCCCCCTGGCGCACAGGTGAGCCGCTGTGTGCCCAGCATACAAGATCCTTTGGTTCCTCATCCTCCCGGTTTGCCCGCTGTCAAGGGCTTCTTCAGTAACGGACACTTTGGACATAACTGATGGCCAGGCCTTTCTCGTTGGGCCTCAGTGGACTGCTCCTCTGATCTCTGAGCCTCTGTTTTGGGTTTCTTCAAGACAAAATGAAAGTCAAGTATGAGACCTGGATATTAACAATTCCAATTTGGGGAAACCGAGAAAAAGAATTTCCTACTGAATCTGGTAGGGGACACTCTGTGGTCTTCGGCTCCAACAAGAAAAGGTCAAGTCACCAATTTCCCGAAGGTCCAGCATTCACAGTGACTTCAGCGGACTTGGGGACAAGGGCTAGCCTTTTGTGGAAGAGAGCCCTCTGTGCGGCATCCCGTGTGGTGGCATAGGCTTGGCAGATGGACTACTTGGTTATCCAGGCAGGTTGAGGACTTGGTTACGGTCCCTTGGGGAGGTAGCAGGGGCCTCTGCAACTATGCACGATCTCTCAGAACAGCAAGATTCATATCTGGAGATACTATTCTGTGGACAACAGTTTGGTGGGGCGGTCATTTTCTTACTCTCGAGTTATGGTTACATAGCCAGTCCATGGGTCTGACTTGGTCACTGTGCTAGGTCACTACCTGCCTTCTACCCGAGGGGCAGGCCTAAACTATAGAGGAGCATCATGGCTGCGCAGGAGGCTGTGCTTTGAAAGCTGAGCCCAGAGTGGACCTCTTCCAGCAGCCCTCAATAATGTGAATGGGTTAGTGATCGGAGCCAAGGAGCAGGACTGGGTTTTCTTCCATCTGCCTGTGCAGTATCGAATGCCCCTGTTCCTTGGGGTGTGCAGTTACAGAGCTCTGCTGTGGTACCTCTAGACTGTCACCACCTTCTCTGCCCCTGACAAAGGGCAGCCCTTTTCAGTTGGTCTTCTTTGGACCTTGAATACAGGAGCTGTTTTTTGTTGTTGAAAGTCAGGGAAGGGCCCCCAGAAATTCCTTGGCTAAAGGGAAAGGGGAAGATGGAAATTGTGAGCCACATATCAAAACTACCCTCCACTTTATTCCCTGATTGAGGGTTGTGAAGTGTAGAGGGGAGGGAGCCCCAAGGTGAGCAGGTGCTGCTTTATTTGAAATGTTTTCTTACCTCATTCTGTGCCCCAGTAAGGGGCCCAGCCTCATCTGTCCGGCTTGGCCCCATCTTCCTCCTTTTCCCTGCTCCACTGCCTATCTGGTGCAGCTCATGATTCCAGGTGCTGCCTGCCACCTTGATTTTACAATGACCAGTTTCAATTCATTCCTTGATGCTCCTGCTTCTGAAGCCTAACCAGTTTCGTTTTCCTTGGCTTCTTTTAAGTTTTTCCCCTTGTTTTTGTGGGAGACTCAGAAGAATCTATGGCTCCCTCTGTTGGGATTAGGGTGGGGAAAAAAAACGTAATTGTTTGTATATGAAAGGCAATGTGATCCCCAAGTCTTTCTCCTCTAGGACTGCCTTGCTAATATGCCTTCCTGTTGTGTCTTATTTCATGAGGAGTTATAGCTTCCCACTTCCACTTGGATAAGCAGAAGAACAGTAAAGGCTAGAGACAAACACATGGATGGAGTGGGTCCTGATCCATTTTCTCTAACCCTGGCTATGCATGTATCCTTTCTTATTCTAGAAGGAATTATTTGGATGGTGTGGACTGATTTGGGTTACATGCTCTAGAAGATTTAGGAAACAATAGTAATAGGGGCTCAAGATTGTAGATTAATGCATTCTCCCCCTAGAGTTGTCCTGGTCAGGGTAGGGGCCTAGTTACAGATTGGTCTTTAATCCAAGAATTATGATTACTTTTTAAAAAGTCAAACTTTGGCAAGAGCTAAAATAATTTTGGGTAATCTGCCCTTGACTTTTTATAGACATCTTCTAAGGAGATGCAGAAGTAAAGGAGGGTTTAAGTGATTCTCTGGCCTACTTCCAGATAATGTCTGGGAAACAGGCTGACGATAATGCCATTGTCCACTCTTCCATCAGAGAGGGAGCTCAGATTGTGACATTACCATTTTCTTACTGGCCTTTTCTCCTGGTTAGAGGATGAAGTGGGAAGTTCATATTATCTCTCACTTGGTATTGTTTTTTGCTCCACTATCAGGGCAGTCGCCCCCGGCCCTGGATGGGTATGCAGTGAGCTAAAACAAACTTAACTCCTTTCATTTTGGTGGAGGTAATGCGCCCTACCATATAGTTGACAGTGATTAGGAACTCTCCCTTTCCTTACCTATCTTCCCGCTAACAGCAAAATTCTTATCCTTTCCTCTTCAATTAAATGTATTGATCACCCTGTAATTCTATTATGTGTCTGTTTGTGTGTGTGTGTGTGTGTGTGTGTGTGTGTGTGTGTGTATGTATGGGGGGAAGGGGTTCTTTACAAAAGTTCTGTGGTTTGTGGCTTATTCTTCCATACATTATTTCCTATCACTGCATGCCCAGGGGCCATTACCTGGCATTATCGCATGCTGGGATCATTGGGGAAGTGTAGTGAAATTCACCTCTGTCCTTTGTTTTGGAGATTCTTATTTTTGCAAAGTAGTTTATCCTACATAGATTGCTGTGTATTCCCCTTCCCCTATGGCTGCTGGTGTAAATAAATTGCATCTCCCCATTGGTAAATAGTAATAATAAAATTTTAAAAAATGACTTTATTTGGCTTTTGTATGTTAATCCTTTACAACTACATGTTTTTCAGGTATTGATAGTAAAATAAATGTTTAATTGCTGTTGAACCTTAATCACTTTTTCCTGATTGGGAGTTTTATCAGAATAGATAGAGGAACACTAACTTTGTTTTTCCATCTAGTTCTGTAAATTTACTTTCTGCAACATCCCGTGAAAGAAACAAACTTTATAGAATCTGCCCTTTTTTATATGAGGTAAGAGCGTGGTAAAATAAATATAGTCCAACCTATCACCAAAAGTCCAGTGTGAAAGATGGTTCAATTTAAATGAAACTCAAGGTATCTTAAATATATACATTTCACCACTACTTCAAGCTAATGTCCTGCTCTAAAAAGGCAAGTGATTCATAGGAAAACATGAGTTTACCTTTGTAAAGGTAATTTTTTCCAAATACTTTATATTTTACCCCAACTTTTTATGTTTTTCACTTTGTTTTTAGAATAATTTTGAATTTTATATTCCATTTCCTAATCCAGAGTTGGAGTACTTCCACATAGGTTGTGCATATTAATTCTTAGTACTGATAAAAATCACTTGGTTGCTAAATGTTGTAGTTCATTAAAGAAACAGTCCAAAATTGGAAATAACGTTAGATAAGTAAAAGTTATTACAGAAATTTAGAGGGGAAATTGTCTCAAAATAGGGAGTCTTCTGGACATATAACATGGTTTTGAGTCACAACATTCAAATGCAGCCACAGCAAATACTTTTGGATCTTATTTTGTATGTTTAGATCGGAATTAATATATTTAATACTAACCTAGTTAGCTTTTTGAAATGAGCCTCAGTGCCTTACTAAATTCACGGTAAGACATCTAAATTATTCCTTTTCATGTTTTCTAACTTTTTTTTTCTTAAAAAGAAAAAAAACAGTATTACATACCTTTTAATTTCCTATGTTTCACTCCCTACTACTGCATTTTAGCGATAGCACATAGCATGAGATCAGGAACCTAATAAATGGTTACTTAATGTTAACAAGATAAAGATAGAAAATTACTTACTCTCAAGAGTTCAGGAAGAGCTTTATTTGCACACAGTAATAAGCTAGTAATGTTGCCTTCCATTAGGACCTATCTGAGGTACTTTAAAGTGTTTATTTTTTAAAGTGTTTTATGAAATGCAGAGGATATATTAATGTGTTAAAATCCAACATTTATAATTTATTAAACTTCGTTCACACTGGTCTTTAAAATAATTGCCATGGTTAGTGAATTGCTTCTTCTCATATCATTTAGAGATAGCATCAGACTGGAAGTTTTACACTACTGTAGGAGGCCCAAGCTCTGATTCTCAGTCATGTCCCAGAAGATGCTCATAATGCTTTGGAGGAAAACATTTGTTACAAGTGATACACTTATTTAAAAAGATACTGCAGATAAAACTGTAAATCTGTGGATTTTTCTTTTTCATTTTTAAAACATTTTCAATCATATATTGCTTGAGCCTCATTGGGTATGTAAAGAAAATATTAAATTCATTTTAGAGATGAGAAAATATGTCCAGCAACAAACATAGATAGAGAAACACTAGAAGCAAAAGCAGAATGCTGGTGCTAGCCTGTGCTCTTTGTTGAAGCAATAGGAAATTTCATGTAGCAAATGAAAGGACTAATTTTTAAAAAGACAAGCTATGGCTAAAGTAGATTGAAAACTTTAAGGCAGTGAGTTTGAAAACATTGAAAAAAATCAAAAATAAAAAGTATAACTCACCAAAAGTGACAAAAGGAATTTGTACTTTTCAATTAACTTAATACATCTACAACTTACAAGCCAACTCATCTCATCTCTACCCCAATACACACACAAAAATACTGGACACTTAGAATTTTACAGACAGTACAGCAGAAAAAAAAACAAACACAAGCCTACATGTATTAGGAAGATAGATTTTTAAAAAAAAATTGAAAATGCTATCAAACCAGATCTCTTAAAAATGTCAAAAACATCAACAAGCCAAATTCATCCCAGGAAAGTAAGATTTTGACTCAAAGTCACATCATGATTAGGGTAAAACTGAAAATCTTGATAGATACAGAAAAATACTCTGTAAAATTGAATGTCAATTGTTGACTTAGAAAGTAGTTATTAATATAGAAACTAGGGCTAAATAACTCCCATACATTGAATACTACATACAGTTGCAATGCTTAATAGTAAATACCTGGAGACATTCCCTTTAAATCAGGAATGGAAGAAACAAAATTCTCATATTCTCAGATTGGATAATTAATTGGATAATTTTCTAGAATCTGAACAGACTGATAGAATGCAGTAAAGTTGCTGGATATAAGATTAATATCCATAATCAGTAATAAGAATTTTAAAATATTTTTAATGTAAATCTATAAAAATTATAGTGATTCTATGAGTTATAATAAGAGAGGAGTAAGATAGATGGAGAAAATTATAAATTTTTTTCTGGTATATTAGAGAAAACCCCAATAAATGGAGAGTGATAGGATATTCCTGGATCGAAAGCTCAAAATTACCCAACTATATGAATTGGAAGTATCTTAATAAAAATCCAAATACTAGTAGACATTTTTATGAAACTTAACAGGCTAATTTTAAGATTTATATAAAAACCAAGGTGCAAGAATAAAGATCTTTTAAACAAATGTATCATACATAGTATGATTTTGGTGTAGGAACAGTGGAATAGAATAGAGTTCAGAATTAGCTGGAAAAACCTAATTCTATATAACTAAATTGGTGTTATAGTCAGTGGATTATAGACTTATATATTGTTCTGAAATAGATTATCCATAAATAAATAATAAAACTACTCTAGACACAAAAATCCTTATGTGCATATAAAACATTGTGAAAAAGTAAGACACCAAACCTTTATAAGAAAGTAGGATATGTTTATAATTATAGGGAAGAGAAAATGTCTTAATAGAAGCAAACAAAAATAAAAGATTGATACAGTGGACTAAAATAAAACTAAAACTTTTTGTGCTTTGTCATACTAGAAATACAAAACATCCCTATGACATACTTGTGAGTAGAAGTGTTGCAGTTCTTATAATGGATAAAAGATTATTAACAAAATTACTATACAGTTGACTTATGGACCAAGTAAAAGAATTGCTCATTTATAGAAGAAATCCAAATGGCATAAAATGATGTGAAAAGTTAACAGGTTCAGAGGAATGTAAACAAAGCAAATGAAATACCAATTAATATAACTCATTATGGTTAAAATTAAAAAAGGTGATGATACCAAATCTGACCGTTATATGGAGCAACTAAAACTTGTACATTGCTTGTAGACTGTAAATTGATAAAAATATTTTAGAAAGCAATTTGGAAATATCTATTAAAGTTGGTAAGTATAACCGATCCCCTAATATTTCCACTTGTTGTAGCATTATTTGTAATAAGAAAAATTTGAAAACAATATAAAATATACAAATAGTTACTATACAGAATTGGAAATAACTAGAACTGCACAAATAAAATATTTAGTAAAAGATTAATTTGCTGCCTTTCACTTGAAGTTTAACAATATGCAAACCAATGCTATATTTTTTTTAAGGAATATGTGCATATGTAATAAAAAAAAATTTATGTAATAAAAAAAAATTCTGTACACCAAAATCATTGAACTAGACCTCTACTTCTAGAGATTGGAAAAAGATGATGCAAAACATCTAGATATTGAATAAATTGCAACAAAGATTCTATTAAGTGTCTTGCTATCCTTCTGAGAAGGTAAGGAAATAGCCAGCTCTTCCTTCTAAATTCACACAATGAGCACCAGAGATGCAGTTGAAACAGAAAATGGGACTGCACCGTGAAACACAGATATCAAAAATTTCCAGGTGGGAGTGGAAGATTAAGTCTGGATCAAAAATTAACACCCTTACACTATTTATAAATACAAGATACCTGAAGTAATCTACATCCTTAGTGAAAGACTGGGTAGAGTAAAAAGAGAGACATGAACAGACTATTGAACCTCAGAGGGAAGGCAGGGGAGGGTGGATGGGAAGAGATCAACCAATGAACTTGTATGCATATATGCAAAACCTGTGGACACAGACAAAGGGGTGGTGAGGGCCTGGAGGAGTGGGGACTAGAGTGGGGTGGGAGAGGTTAATGGGGGGGAAAGGAGGACTTACGTGATACTTTCAACAGTAAAGATTAAAAAAATAAAGAGTGAGGGAGAGACAGACAGAAAGACAAATACCTTCCTGGCTGCAGAGAGAACAAAAAAGAGAGCCTGCCATGGCCAGATGTGAAATAATACCATCATCATCATTTCTTTTGGGAACTTGTACTCATTCCCTTGCTTTCACATAGTCACTCTATCCTGCTAATCAGACAAACCTCTACCTAAAAGTTATATAATGTGTCCAAGATCATATTTTATTCTTTAGCTACCTGACAGAATTTGGGTCCCTTGGCATTTCAGAAAATATAAGCTTGCAATAAAAGAAACATCTATTGCTTTAAAGATTTCACTCACACCTATTCTGCTTCTAATAATCCTACTTATAAGAAAAGAGTGCTAGTTCTGTAGATTATTATTTCTGCTGACTCTACAGAGTTAATACTCATAACTAGAATTATTAGTTGCAAATTATAATGTCTATAAATTAAATCTTTAAGTTAATAAATGGAATTTTAAATGAACAAGATACAGGAGAGAATGATGATGGAGTTATGAAAATGAAAGTAATAGAGCTGAAAATAAAACAATGTATGCCTATAAAATTAAAAGCTCAATGTACAAGTTTAATTAAAAGTTAAAAATTCCAGTTTAATTAAAATGGAAAAATGAAAACCAGCATTAAGCACAATCTATTGGTTAATGATTTTGCTTAGTTGTTCAGACAGCAGTGTGTGAATTTGTGTTGCCTCCTTGCCTCCTATTAGTAAACCCAGGTTCTTCTTCTTTTTCTTTATTATTATTTTTTTTTTGGTAGAGAATTGCAAAGTAAACGTGCAACAAAGAA